AACGTTTCTGTGATGACTATCCCATCACCCTCCCCTGCCCGTGCTCTTAGTTCGGGCCACTTATTTCCGATACTTGTGGCATTTGTAGATACTCTAACTCACTCACCCCAAACACACATTTGGACGGCTTGATAGCCACGTTTCTTGCGGGAAATCGTTTCAGGAGCTGCGTAAGACGGGCATCGTGTTCTTTCTTAGTAAGGCCGAAAATGAGGACGTCATCTTGATAAGCAAGCACACCGTAGAGTCCTTTGATTACACTGTCTATTGCCGATTGTAAGAGGCCAGACGACACATGCAATCCGAATGGGAGAAAATTGTACTGATACAGTCCCCACGGCGTGTTGAATGTTGTCAATTAGCGAGATGCAACATCGAGTGGAATCTGTGGGTATGCGTCCGCCAAATCGATCTTAGAAAAATGCTGGCACCCATGCGATGACTTCATGAAATCGTCTGGTTCAATGATGGTCGCTGCACATCTCCGCAATCTGGGATTCAATGTTAGTCGATAGTCTCCACAGATCCGTGGTGTCCTACCATCACTTTTCATCGTCACTACGATCGGGGTAGCCCAGGCACTGGATTCACCTTTACTTATCACACCATCCTGCTCCATTTTCTGTAATGCTTTCAGGACACCGTCCCGCTGACCGTATGGGAGGACGCGGCGTTTTAGGAAAATAGGTTCACCCTCCACTTCCAACTTCACCGACGGTACTTTCATGCCACCAGCGTTACCGGAACACTGTACAATCAAATGTTGAAGATGTGAGGTGATTGTCATATTGGTGTGTATTGTGATGGATCCTTGTAGTAGCCGTATAGCTCGAAGGACTAGAATAGACAGACTGTGGGCTGATACCAGGAATCCGATTGGGATTGATACGCCGGATTCAGATTGAACGCACAATATCGTTTCACTAAGTAATTGCAACTGATGGTCAGTAACCCCATGAATGCGCACAGAAGTTGGGGCTAGAACAGCACTAGGACAAATCGCATTGAGTGCTGATTTTGGTAGGATTGATTCGCTGCTTCCTGTGTCCATGTGCCCCCACAACATCCGATCTCAATTGGAATCTATACCGATATTGTGGGCCCTGAAAAGAATCAATAACCTAAAGACAAATAAATCAAATTGGCGTGGCCCTAATAGGGCCGTTTTCAGTCACTCTGGGCTTTTGACGTCCACGCTCATAGACTGAGGTAATGCACACAAACGTATGCTTCCTCTCCACTGTGAGCAGTGCAACAGCTGTGTTTGGCACCCGCATTTCTGGCACTGGATCCATTGTTGCTCATCGTCCAAATCGACCGTATTCCACACAGATTTGCAGACACTGCAACAGTTGGACTTCACCGGTGATGTCGGATTGGTTTGCCTTCTGCGTTTAGCGTCCAGTTTGTACTCCGCTGACGTCGTTGTTGTCAGTCTTCGGAACACAGCATGTTCCAGTGGGTCACCTAGGACTATTTCGTAGTCTTCACTGTCAACTGATCAACTCATTAAAATTGATTTCCGCTTTTCAATCGAACCACTTATTGAAGCTACTGGTGGATTATTTGTTCTCAGCTTGACGCTTGTAGACGGAAGACAGGTACGCTTAATCTCCGTAGCATGTGTTGCCAAGCTCTGTCTATGAAATAATATTTGGATGTCCGGATACTTCCCTATCATAGCTGCTACACGTCGACGTTGATTGCATTAAAAATTGTACTTCACTGTACCTAAACTATTCAAAGAGACACCCAGCTCTTGAAAGACTCGTCTGTCTGAGCCAACTTTGATGGTTTGCCCATGAAGTTTCTTGAGGCCGCTATAACCACGGTGAATTTTTTATCTTAATGTTTTTCGCCGCGGTTTATAATCCACCTATCTAGAATAAGACTTTGAATATCCCAATTAATCAAATCAAATACCTGGCTATATGCAAGCAGGGCAGCAACCATTGTGCATAGAACTAAGACTTGCACTTCGTTTCCCGTGCAGAACCCACTTTGTAACCCTTACCCTTACTATCCACGACGATGAAGAACTCTCTCTCGTGAACGATTTGTTCAATCTTACTTGACTTCCAGTTAATTATTAATATCTTGTGCGCAAATGGTGTTATTCGTGTAAGCAACGGTTTAAACGACTGCATACCGTTGGGTGTCGGATACCCCCTCATGGAATCTTTAGCAAGGCGAATTCCAAGCATCACTTCCAGTGACCTTACTAGTTGTAACACTTTCTTTATTACATCCACTAATGAAGACCGAGGAGACAAGTCTGTCTTGAGGTGCCTATTTTCCGTCCCCACTCGGTTGGTAGTTAGGTTTCCTAAAGTCAAACTAGTCCTCACGGCATACCCTGCCCACTGGTCTTGGTATGGTAACGAATTTCGGCGTAAATAAACACCTGCTTCTGAGCTACGACTTTCTACGGTGGCTAGGAATCTATGAAACGATATCTCACTATCACAGTACACCATGTTCCGCATCCATTGAAAGATACGCTGCTTTTCGAACGTTGGCATACCAGATAGCTGGTTACATTTCTTCTTCAAATCCTTAACGAGATGGAATTGACAAAATATCACATTAGATGACGGAAAGTATTCTGAAAACGCGCTGTACTGAGCCAAGCCACGATCAACTACTATAGTCTTGTATTATGCAAAGACTGGGCATATAGCTCTCATGGCTTCCACGACAGATCTATAGTTCTTACGGCTCTCATTCGGCAAGATAGCGCAGAAGAAACTTCTACCTAAACCGGTGTCATCTACAAGCACAGCATGCTAAAGCATGTACCGGCCACAGTTTAGCTGATGCGTGGCATCTGCTAACAAAACATCAATAAACCTGGCGACTCAGTGCAGCATAATCTTAGGAACCAAATAACTGTGACGAACGACGCCTTCGCTCAGCCCTATCCTAACCTCTCCCTGGTTCTCCAGCATATTCATAACTTTCAACGCATCGCCACGTGAATCCGATTGAAACCTTCTTTCACATATGGATCTTATATCTGCCATAGTTAATGGCCTATGGAACCTGTGTAGCGAAATCCCTTAGCTCACGAGTGCTTCTAAAAATGTCCATCAAAGTACACACTTCCTCTTCCTATTCTCCAGATAGACGACGTTTACTTATATACAGACCCCGCTGACCCACATGGAAGTCATAGTTGTGCACCAGACAACGTTTCATCACTCAGTACTCCCTCCCGACCGCGCGAATTCCAACGAATGTCGGGCAATCGATATTTTGCAGCCTAAAATGGGTTAAATACATTAGAAATGAGCGGCATAATTATCTGGTTGCAATTGCGCCGTTCCTTCTGTGATGCACACAGCAATATTTGATGAAATAATACGGAAGATCCTCAGGTAGAGTCATTTTCCGACCAAACTTTCTTTCCCGTATCAGTTGTTCGGCTGTCATTGACGCATAAACGTAGAAGGACGTGCAAGTAACTGTTTGGGTTTCACGGAAGTGCTCCAACAATCCGTCCAGTGATCCACAGCAATTTTTTACCATTCGTCCAAAAACGACCGTTTCGTTGGTACCAGCTTCAAAGTGATCGTCGGAATTAGGTTGGGGTATTTATACTTTCTGGACAAAGTCAATTAAGGTTACTTAAAACAAATTAAATTTAAACAAATCACTGTGAATGAGGCAAAAGCAAACTCTGTTCCATTCCGGCTAAATTCGACATCACTTTTGCTAAAATAAAAATCGATCGTTTTTAGATATCCTATTAGTTTGGATGCCACGCCACTACCCGCTCTAGCCGCCTATAACTATGACATCCAACATCGTCCAGGAAAAACAATCCCGCAGGCTGATTTCCTCTCTCGCTGCTGACGGTTTTATGAGGCCGAAAAGTGTCATTTTATCTTTCCGGCATCACCAGTGTCTTGGAAATCTTTACGCAAATCTACGAAACAGCTCTACTCAGCCATACTCTCAGTGATCAAGAAAGGGTTGTCACCAGAGGTAAAGAGAAAGTATCCTCAATTCTTTGCTCATCGAGAGGAGTTGTCAGTACAATTGG